CGATAGCTTGCCTCAAAAAATGCCCATTTCCGATTGTGATATTATTTAATTTTTTTTTTAGAATTTAAAGACTTTTTTTTAGAATTCAAAGAAAACCGACCGATGCAGTTTTCTTTGAATCGTTTTGGAATTTTCTTCCTCTATTCAAAAATTAGGTTCCATGACATTCCGTCAACTATTTTTTGTCCGTGCACCTGTTTTATCCAGTAGTTTACGCCCACGTGTAAAGTAAGCAACCGTGATCTGGTCCAATCGTTATATTTAAGTTGTTTACGTCCACGTGTAAAATAAGCAAGATTGACTTAGTGCAAGAGTTATATTTTAGTCTGTATGTAAAAGTAGATTAACAATATCGAAATGAGAAAAATGAGAAAATTTAGAGAGAAGGAGGTGTTGTTATGATGACTCATTTGTTAAATGCAATTTTACTTTCTTCTCTTGATTCATTTTTTGCAAATTGGCATTGGTGAATATTTGGTTTTACTTATTTCCTTGAAATTTTCCATGTAAAATAAACTTTATAAATACATCTTTTAATGAAAATATTACTTCATTTTAAAAACATTTACATTTTCAAAACGTGGCAAATATTTGTAAAAACCTTTTCCAAGCAATGACATCGATACTCATCGGGAGTTTTGTTGAAAGGAACTGCACAAGAATGATTAAAAGAGAGAAAAAATGAAGAGGCACGCAATCTTTGGTTTTTACCCATTTGTACATCGATTTTTTAGAGTCAAATACGACCGATTTTAGGTTTAGTTGGGCGTACACCACGCTGAAGCACAGTAAAAAAGAATAAAAAATTGGAATATTTTGGAAATCATTAAATTCGTCACGGAGCTATCTTAATATTTACGAAACACACATTATATTTTCCTTTGATACACATTTTCCCCCATCGATTTAAATGAGAATAAACGATAGAGAATGTGTAAACATTTTAAAATCATGAATTGAAAAGCTCTGACTCCACGGGTTTAAATATTAGAGCCAAACACAGCGGAGCGGCATGCTACGAGCGCGGAACGCGCGTTGGCGCCTACAAACCTAAGGGGATACTTCAAGCATTGCGCAATGCATGCAGTATCCCTTAGGTTTGTAGGCGCCGGTGCGCATTCCGCGTTGGCCGCGCGCCGCGCCGTGCCACGGCACCTCAAGCAACTATTTCACAACAAAGGTGATGCATAGTATCAAATGAAATTGAAGGCGCTCCAAAAATTAAGAGTGACAGACATCCTTTCAAAGAGCAGAGCTTTCCTCGCAAAAAAACTCAAGATGCTACGGCACAAAAAGAGAGCGGAAGTCCCAAATTTCAGTAAGTCCTAGCATCCGTATTTAAGGACGTTTAGCATAATGGGCCTGTTGCATGCAAGAGATACAGCCGTGCGAATAGAAATTTTAGAGGTTAAATGACATGAAAATTACGATGGTCACATTAGAAAAGTCTGAAATACACTCCTTACTGCGCAATTTGCGTTGTTAGGAGCGCGCTTTTTCAAATTTCCCGCGTCGGAGGGCAGTTTTCTTAAGGAAACAATTAACGGCAACTCGCGGCTATTTCCGGTCAACTAAAACTGACAACATAACCTAAAAATCGGAGCTCGTGATATCGTGAAATGAAATGTAGAAGGATTGCGTTGGATATTTATAAGTTGATCGATTTGGTGACCGCATAAAGCGTATATGGACCACTATAAGAGATCACGTTGGGTTTGTAAACAAACTGAAGGAAAAAATAACAACAACAACAACAACAACAGCGACTCGGCATCTTCCGGAAATCACCGAGCCCGCCGTTTGCTCGTTTCCGATGATTAGAAAACTGCCCCCAGACGCGGGAAATTTGAAAAAGCCCGTTCCTAACAACGCAAATTGCGCAGTAAGGAGTGTATTTCAGACTTTTTTAATGTGACCATCGTAATTTTCGTGTCATTTAACGGATAAAAGTCTATAAAGTCTAATAAAGTCTTAATAAAGTCTATTCTCGCGGCTGTATCTCTTGCATGCAACAGGCCCATTTAGAAAAAATAAATTATAGAAAATTTGATTAAAGAAAAAATTGACTTGATTTAGACAGAAACATACTTGAGTATGCCGCAAAGAAGATATTATTTTGAATCAAGAATGAAATCTCTGAATGAAAGCGGGTTTCTGGTTGACGTAAGTGACTTTTTTTCATGTAAGAATCTTCTCTCCTTTAAACAAGCATTACATTCTCAATTGATTGAAAAAGAAATTTTCTCTGCGGTAAATTTAAGCATATTTCTGTTTGAATCAAGTCACTTTTTCCTCTAATATGAAGTTCAAAAATCATTCTAAACGTTATTGGATACGATTACTGCGTGGGACTTAGTAAAGTTTTTGACTAGCGCCCTCTTTTTGTCGTCGTCACTAGATTTAATTTGCGAGGGAATTTCGTTACCACAAACATTCACGTAAAATGTTCCGCATCCTATTCTCCAAATTGATCCGCTCCCCTCAGTGACGTGACGTCCTTTGCGATAAGTCGATTTATCTGCCATAAAACCTATGGAAAAGGGTCGATAAACAGGTTCGTAACGAACGCATTAATAATCGATTCTTTACCATAACTTTAAATGGGGAAATATTGATAATAATCGATCATTCACGCCTCGCCACTGGCTCCCCTGAGGGGTGATTATTGAAATTGATAGACAAATCTATAGACAAAGAGGACAAAAGGGATATGGAGGGATCCTATTGGTGGAAGCGGTTAATTGCAATGGACAAAGGACGTAGGTGATGACTAACTAACGGCAACCCACGAGAGTCCCGATAGTTAGTCCATCATTTACCCCCTTAGTCTATAAGAACCACCTATCTCAACCATATAGGATCGCTTTTTACTCCTTATGCCATCTTTGTCTATAAATTTCAATAATCGGCCCGCTGATGCATTAATGGTGGAAAATGTATATTTTAAGGTAATATAAACATCCCTTTAAATATATTTTAAAAATTTTAGAACCCTGTTCATCGATAAATGGCGGATTTTCTGCACTATCTGGAAACTAAGCGAGTATTTTTCTCTTCATCTTCGATTTTAGAAATCGCTGGTGGATGAGGAAAGAGGATAAAACGGGTCGAATCGATGCGCGATGGTAAGCTTCGGAATTCATCAGTTGAAAGTTATCGCGCTCCCGGTTCGGCAATCGATGAAAATGGTATTAGATTCTTTCATTGTTTCCACTGCGTAACTGTTTCCAATGTTTTCGAAAATCACAAAGCGCGTTGTCAAATTTGTGGATCATCGTTTGAGTTATGACGCGAATGGACGCCACCCCGTTGGGTGGGTTGATTGGTGGCCGTTTCCCAACGGGCTGATTATAGAAAGTGTTAAGACAGAGCTATAGACAAAGAAGACATAGGTGGTTTGAAGCGATCATATTGGTTGAAATGGGTAGTTCTTTTATAGACTAAAGGAGAAAATTATGGACTAAGACCAATTCTGCCATTTTATTTTACCACAAATTCCGGGGTTCCCGAAATTATGTCCGATTTTTTTCAAAAGTTCTGAGAAAAATTCCAAAAAACACCCTGATTTAGTTTTGGAGATCAGCATATATGACGGAAAAATAATCAAATTTGATCAAATAATTGGTCAAACTGACGAAAAACACCAAAATTCTGTGAAAATCCCAAAAATGGCTGAAAATTCTGGGAATCTCGAAGATTCCGAGTTAAGAGCCAAGAAATTACAAAAGTTCCGAAATTTGGAATCAACTCCGGGATATGGCAGCACGGAGTAAGACAACCCCCTCCATTAACATGAATGCAACGATGGGTATCATTAGACTAGAAATGGATTACATTCTGCATTAAGGAACCACTATCTCTGGCTCTTCCATAAAAGCACCCTTCTGCACGGGAAAACCAATGTCATAAATGTTGTTTCTAAAATAAGCCAGGAATAATGGTTCCTTATTACAAAATCGAGTCAAAATAAGATACACTTCAATAGGTCATCGAATAACGTAGCCATAAAATCAGTCAATACTCGATGAAGGTGCGAAAGATCCGATCGATCGCCGCGCACGCAAATGTCATCAAATTTTTCACAGAGCTGGCGCCCGGGCTAACAGAACTCGCCGAGTTTTTGTTCCGAAGTTGGACTCGGGATAAATAACCGGTTGTTATGAATCGTAATATAAACATCGCCCGATGTATGGCCCTTAAATAACTCGCCCCTTTTTATGGACGGCATAAAGTTAGCGGCGGCAGTGAGTGAGTGCGGCGATATGGCGGGAGTTTAGCGCGGACCGGAGTGGAGGCTTCGGCTGCGCGGTGAGCGGCGAAAGTCAGACGCTAGAATGGCAAGAGTGGCGCCCTTCGAGTTTTCGTCATAAACATCCCCATTCCTCCCCTGCCGGACCCCCGGCCCTCACTCGCCACCCGTTAACGGACCTCTCCACCTTATCTCAAATTCTTTACGGGCAGACCCCCCGCCCTCCCTCGCGAGAGCTTCCGAAAATTGCTAATATCTATTGTTCTTGGCCGGGTTCGGACAGGAATAACAGTTGATTATAGAACAGCAGTTTTGATATTTCCACCGATCGTGAGGAAAGTCAAGCGGGGGTTGTACTCCCCCCGGATATCCCCCCCCCAAAAAAGGAGCGCTTAGCACGCGGAAACTTTCTTCGGAACTTTTAGAGAGAAGTTCTGTTGAATCTATCACCGTGCTTGAGGGTTTTCTTCAATTTCACAAATTATTACTTATTATTCAGACAGCGAAAATAAACGAAAATAACCCGGATAACTTAACTGAAAAACACAAAAAATGGATAACCAAGGCTAAAAAGTAATGAAACGTAGAGCCTGGAACTTTTCGGGGTAGTTGCAACCCCCTCCTTGACCAGGGCACAAGAATATATAAAAATTAAAATACCAAGATCATAATTGGGTATTTTGCCTGATTTTGGTTAATGTTGCTCGAAAAATATTGAATCAAACGAGAACAGACGTTTGGGGGTACTTACAGTCAACGGAAACCATAATTTTCTTGCTAACGGCAGGCTGAACTGAATTGTTCGCAATACACAGGTAAGCTCCCATGTCCAATCGGCTGATTTTTGGCAGTTCCATCACCTCACCCTCCCACTCTGAAATCAAAAGCATTCATGACATATTTAATGTGTGACAAACTGGTAGTTGCACTTAAATAATTTGATAAGCAGTGGGTATGTAGACAAAGTGCTAAAACATGTGCAAAAATTAACTTACATATAAACTTTTTTATTTCAATAAACTTGACATTCCTACTTAGCAAACAATGTGCCTACCAAAGTTATTATTAGAGTTTTTTAGTCAACGTGCGTAAAAAGTTCAGCTTAAAGCTGACATCTCATTACCGAAGGAAAAAACTCACACACAAGCACAATTTAAGATGAGGATTGGTCCAACAAGGCCGAAACGCGTCTGCAGTTGCCTTCCTGAATGGACGTAACTAGTGTTGCTCCAAACAGCGTATCTCTTTGAGGGAAAATTGTGCTGGTGTGTGAGTATTTTCCCTCTGCTATGAGATTTCAGCTTTAAGCTGAACTTTTTAAGCACGTTGGCTAAAAAACTCCAACGTCCCGTCTTACGACCCGTGCGTTCACCGTAAGCGGTTTGTGTAAAGTTGTTAATAATTAAAATATGTGTTTAAATAAAGTTTTTTTAACTTTAAAAGCTTTAAAAGCTCCGACCAAAAATTATAATTAAATAAATCAGTTTTTAAAAAAGTTAATTCTTGCACATTTGTAGCACTTTGGCTACATACCCACTTATCAAAATGACATATTTAATTATTAAATGTATCCAAAGGAGAAAATTAAATTATAAGATTCGATTTTCAATACGCGTCAGTGAGATCCTTAAATTTGTTGAGACTTGTCGCAGTAAATCTTTGAAAAGAAATGTTATGTCCTCATTGAGCAGACATCGACAACGCAAATGCAAACGCACACATTTCGTTGATAATCTCGGGAGAACGATATTAATCAATTTATCTTTGATTGCTTACATGCGTCTCCCTATAACTTTTACGGACAATATACTAGATTTTAATAGCCAATCAAATTTTTACTTCCCTGTTATTCCTACAAAATAAACGGAAAATGATAATCAATCCGTTGGTATGGGGGATTTTTACGAGCGGGAAAATTTTATTGCTTTGCGAACTCTCCGCAAACTGCACTTGCATTTGCGGCAGCGGTGTTTTGGAAGTTAAGATTTGACAAATTACTTTTGTTTTCTCTTCTCATTGTTTCGGTAGTCAGAAAAGAGAGGCAAAATCACTTGATATTGGGCGGTTGCGTGTTTTGACACACACACAAAAAAATATTCTGTGGCAAAAAACAAATATTCTCAATTTAAAAAAAAAAAAAAAAAAAAAACTGAGAAGAATTTCTATTTGATTTTTTAAAGAAAGTCCATGGAATACTACCAGAGAATGAGTTCTGGATAGTTCAAATAGGATTGCAGTCCTTTTAAAAGGAAATGACGAAATGCCCGGTTGTTTTTGACGGGAAGTCTCTTTAAAACACCATGAATTGTATTCGAGACAACCTTTATCATCTCGGGAAATATTTAATTGAAGTTCAGTTCCATTCAAACAGAACTTTTTCTCGATATATATCAAAATTTCCACTCTTACTTTATTTTTTTCGACAAAATTTTACATCGCACGTGGCTAATCATTTGATTCACGAACAATTTGAGCTTTTAAGAATCTGAAAATTTGAATGCGTGAGGGCCAAGATTGGGGAGTCAATACGTCTCCCGTGTTGTTCATGTAGAATTTCAACAAGACGGGTTTTACACTCCTATATTGGCATTAAAATCTTGCTTGGTGATTCTTAAGATAAAAATAAAGTGGTATCGTACCGCAATAATTGCTCCTTTTTTGTCGTCACTTCTGTTTGGGAGCAGAACTTTTGCCTAACTAGTGAAGAATGCGTAGGGATGCAGGGAAAAATAAGGGATTTACGAAATAAGAACACTCGGTTCGGTGTATCGACTTTTTCTTATATTGCACCGGAGGTTATGAAAAAACTCAGCTGATGAGAATCGTATTAATTTTTGCTCTTACGGCATTGCCATATTTCAACTCGCCTCCTCAAAAATTAATTTCATTATTAATGAATGCTCACTGGGAAAACATGCAGGTCCAACATTTGTTGCAACGGATGAGGGANACAATGGACCACTAGACAAGGTGCAAATTTCAGCATTCTGATACATGCTCCTAAACCAAAATTTCACGTAGAACACGATGCGCACAACGAAAATTACCGAAATCAACTCCTTACGAAGATAATTAATGATTCTTGATGCGTTCATTCAAACCTCCTGCTCATGAAAACTCAATGCTCTACGTGATTCACATCACGCGCTAAACGTTATCATGACAGTCTCTGCGATATAAAAATCTGACAACCTCAATCTTGACGCTTTGGCTCAGCTGTAGCAAATTGCTAATAGTTTGAACAACACATGGTGGGAAATGAACATTGCTCGATTGAGAGGCTTGCAGAAACCGTTGTAGTGCGCGATTTGACTCACGTAGAGCCTTGAGTTTCTTGTGAGCGGGCAGTTCAAATTCCTCGTAACCAATGTGAAATAAAAACGTTAATATCTCCGTTAGGAGTTCGTTTAAGTAATTTTCGTTGTGCGAATCGTGCTCTACGTGAAATTCTGGTTAAGAAACATGTATCAGATTGCTTAAATTTGTACCTTGTCTAGTGGTCCATTGCACATTTGTATATAGCACTTTGGTTACATATTCACTTATCCAAATGGCATATTTAATAATTAAATAATGTACCCGAAGGAGAAAATTAATTTATAAGATTTAATTTTCAATACGCGTCAGTGAGATCCTTAAATTTGTTGAGACTTGTCGCAGTAAATCTTAGAAAAGAAATGTTATGTTCTCATTGAGCAGACATCGACAACGCAAATGCAAACGCACACATTTCGTTGATAATCTCGGGAGAACGATATTAATCAATTTATCTTTGATTGCTTACATGCGTCTCCCTATAACTTTTACGGACAATATACTAGATTTTAATAGCCAATCAAATTTTTACTTCCCTGTTATTCCTACAAAATAAACGGAAAATGATAATCAATCCGTTGGTATGGGGGATTTTTACGAGCGGGAAAATTTTATTGCTTTGCGAACTCCCCGCAAACTGCACTTGCATTTGCGGCAGCGGTGTTTTGGACGTTAAGATTTGATAAATTACTTTTGTTTTCTCTTCTCATTGTTTCGTTAGTCAGAAGTGAGAGGCAAAATCACTTGATATTGGGCGGTTGCGTGTTTTGATACACCAAAAAAAATATTCTATAGCTGAAAACAAATATTCTCAATTGTAAAAAAAACTGAGAAGAATTTCTATTTGATTTTTTTTTAAAAAAAAAAGTCCATGGAATACTACCAGAGAATAAGTTCTGGATAATTCAAAAAATATTGCAGTCCTTTTAAAAGTAAATGACGAAATGCCCGGTTGTTTTTGACGGGAAGTCTCTTTAAAACACCATGAATTGTATTCGAGACAACCTTCATCATCTCGCAGGAAATATTTAATGGAAGTTGAGTTTCATTCAAACAGACATTTTTCTCAATATACATCAAAATTTTAACTCTTACTTTATTTTTTCGACAAAGTTTTATAACGCACGTAGCTACTCATTTGATTCACGAAAAATTCGAGCTTTTAAGAATCTGAAAATTTGAATGCGTGAAGATACAGATTGGGGAGTCAATACGTCTCCCGTGGTACCCACGTAAAATTTTAACAAGACAACTGCCCATGTCAGCATTAAAATCTTGCCTGGCGATTCTTAAGATAAAAATAAAGTGGTATCGTACCGCAATCGCTCCTCTTTTTCACGTCTTTTGTCTTTGGGAGTAGAACTTTAGCCTAACTACTGAAAAATGCGCGTCACGCGACAAGCGTGCCAAAACGCCTTCAATTTTTTGCTTATGCAATTTACACATCCTTTGAACACGAATAGTTGTATCTGCAGGCGCTGTTGCTGTTATTAGCCGTGACCCAAAAACCGTTGATTCCTCGTTGAGGTTTTGAACGTCACTGATGAGTATTGGCCTGACTTTTGCATCCGACGTAGCCTAATTTTCTCAGAGATTTTATTGTTTTACATAAAAACCACCCAGGATTCCACCCGAAAATTTTCTGAGTGTATTTTACTCGCTCGAGAAAACTACAAATAACTACAGAAAACTACGGATAACATGAATGAGATTCGATTCTTTGATTCTAAAGATATAGTTTCGGCTTTCTTATACTGCCGTGCTAAGAAAAAACGCCGCATGAACATTCGGGAGTTGCCAAATTTCCCTTGATAAACCAGTATTTTTGAGAAAATTCATGCATATTTTTCCTTGAAATTTGCAGATATTTTAGATTAAATTGCGTACAAAACTGTGTGAAAATTTGAGAAAATAGTATTCACAATTTCCCCAGTACTTTCGGTTTTTATCGGAGGAAAATTGGCAACGTCTGAAGGCTCATACGGCGTTCTTCCTTAGCACAGCAGTATGGTTTCCATATGCGGACTATAGAAAACAAGCAGTGAACTCCAACACAATGTGTTGATAAGGCACGTAATTAACTCACACATATCAACATCTTTAGTTTTCATTTACAGAGATTTCAAAATAGGCAAGTAGCACAACAAGAGAATTCATACGATCCAACTCTTCAACGACGCACTTTGACGAGACCGTGTATTGTGAATGTAGAAAGCCACTCGAACGAGTTTAAGTTTTTTGATCTGCCCCCAGCAATATCTTATCAGATTCTTAAAGAAAAGTGCTACAGAATAATTTAAGCGAAGAAAGGAAAAATTCAGTCGAACTCCTGAAAGATACAGTCGTTTAAAGGTCTTTTTGGGGCTAAAATATCCAAATCACCGGTACCTATTATAAATCCCGATATATTATTGAAAAGAAATTGACTCGATATAAATGCAATGGCATTAAATATGTCTTGATTTTGTTATTCTAAACGTATTTCCATGCAAAGAAGTTCAACCATGTCCATGCTTCATTCATTCATGAATTGAAAGTAAGCAATCTACATCCCGAAAA